ATTCTTGGGGTTCTTTGATATGCTGAATCTAAACATGTGTTTAGATTTTTGATTATGGGCCCAGTTTTCAAGTTTGTCCAAGTTGGGGTCCAAAATTAAACTTTGTTTGATTTGAACAAAAATTGAATATATGGGGTTCTTTGATATGCTGAATCTAACCATGTATTTTGATTTTGGACATTGGACCATAATAGGTAAATTAAAAAAATTCAAGTTCTTAGACCACATTCTTTCTGTGTCAGAAACCTATACTGTGTCAAATATTTAATAACAATCCAAATTCAGAGCTGTATCAAGCTTGAATGTTGTGTCCATATTTGCCCCAACTGTTCAGGGTTCGACCTCTGCGGTCGTATCAAGCTGCGCCCCAGCGAAGCATTTTATTAATTCTATTATAAAATAGGTTAAGTTAGCACTATGGTAAATTTAAATGGGTAATTTTGGTTGCCAACTCCATTGGAAATTTGAATTGAGATTATCACCATATCTTGGGGGAAAGAATTTTTTTGGGGGAAAAAAGGGGGGGGGATAAAAAGAAATTGTGGGGGATCAATTTTTTCTCATTTCTGATTTCAGAAATTAAAAAGAATTATTCTTCAAATATTATTTTTTTTCAAATTTCAAATATTGAAAAATTTCAAGAAGTAATCTTTAATTGCACAGTATGGCGCATTAGATTTGTTAAATCTTTGATCACATTTATTTATTTGTTATGCCGAATCTAACAGTGTATTTAGATTTTTAATTTTGGGTCCAGTTTTCAAAATAGTCTACATTAAGGTCCAAAGGACCAAAATTAAACTTTGTTTGATTTTAGCAAAAATTGAATATATGAGGTTCTTTGATATGCTGAATCTAAACATGTATTTAGATTTTTGATTTTTGGCCCAGTTTTCAAGTTGGTCCAAATTGGGGTCCAAAATTAAACTTTGTTTGATTTCAACAATAATTGAATATATGGGTTTTTTTGATATGCTGAATCTAAACATGTATTGAGATTTTTGATTATGGGCCCAGTTTTCAAGTTGGTCCAAATTGGGGTCCAAAATTAAACTTTGTTTGATTTCAACAAAAATTGAATATATGAGGTTCTTTGATATGCTGAATCTAACCATGTATTTATATTTTTTATTTGTGGACCCCGTTATCAAATTGGTTCATATTGAGGTCAAAAGGGTCCAAAATTAAACTTTGTTTGATTTCATCTAAAATTGAATTATTGGGGCTCTTTGATATTCCAAATCTAACTGTGTATTTAGATTTTTAATTTTGGGTCCTGTTTTTTAAATTGGTCTACATTAAGGTCCAAAGGGTCCAAAGTTAAGCTTAGTTTGATTTTAACAAAAATTGAATTCTTGGGGTTCTTTGATATACTGAATCTAAACATGTGTTTAGATTTTTGATTATGGGCCCAGTTTTCAAGTTGGTCCAAGTTGGGGTCCAAAATTAAACTTTGTTTGATTTTAACAAAAATTGAATATATGGGGTTCTTTGATATGCTGAATCTAACCATGTATTTTGATTTTGGACATTGGACCATAATAGGTAAATTAAAAAAATTCAAGTTCTTAGACCACATTCTTTCTGTGTCAGAAACCTATGCTGTTTCAAATATTTAATAACAATCCAAATTCAGAGCTGTATCAAGCTTGAATGTTGTGTCCATACTTGCCCCAACTGTTCAGGGTTCGACCTCTGCGGTCGTATCAAGCTGCGCCCCAGCGAAGCATTTTATTCCAGTTTCCAGACAATAACTTGTGTTTAAGTGTATGGATCTGTCTGAAATTGCACTGCAAGGTACCATACCACAAAGGGAAGGCTGTGATTGATTTTGGGGGTAATTGCCTCAAAATTTTAGGAATTAGGGGCCAAAAAGGGGAAAAAAAACAAGCATTTTTTCTAATTTCAGGACAATAACTTGTGTGTTAGTGTATGGATCTTTATGAAATTGTACTACAAGGTTCCATATCACAAAGGGAAAGCTGGGTTTGAGTTTGGGGGTAATTGCCCTAAACGTTTAGGAATTTGGGGCCAAAAAGGGGCCTAAAAACAAGCATTTTTCTAGTTTCCAGACAATAACTTATGTTCAAGTGTATGGATCTCTCTGAAATTGTACTGCAAGGTACCATACCACAAAGGGAAGGCTGGGATTGAGTTTTGGGGTGGTGAATCATAAGGGGGTTCAAAAAATTTGGGGGGGATTTTTTTTTCCTTTTTTTTCCTTTTTTTTCTTTAAAATTTTCCATTTTAAATTGGTTATTTCTGATTTATATATAAAAGCAAATAATAATGATATGGTTTGAATAGGTAAATTAAAAAAATTTAAGTTCTTAGACCACATTCATTCTGTGTCAGAAACCTATGCTGTGTCACATATTTAATCACAATCCAAATTCAGTGCTGTATCAAGCTTGAATGTTGTGTCCATACTTGCCCCACATAAGAATGTGTTTTTGTAGATCGAATCAGTCAATCAAATGATTTACCTTTGCTTCACTTTCAATGTTGACATTCTTTTCCTTTTAGTAACTAAATACCCATAATTCGTGCGTAATCCATCTCTAGCTAAACTTAAATTGAAGGTCACATGAATGCGGATTCAATGAGGTCGAATTATTAACTTGCAAGTGAATAATTCATCATCGATTTTTCTTTGCTTCTTTTGACAAAATTAAACCATACTGGCTGCTAAAAGCATATTATTATTTGACTATTTCACTTTCATTAATGATTGAACAAATATTTTATGTTTTTTATTTATCTCATAGCTAGTGCTTTTTTAAGAGGGACCCAAAATCATGTATTTTAATTTATCACATATTTGTTGAAAAAAACATTTAATTTGGCTTTTGCATGATTATGTAATAACCTCAAAATTATCCTACTCATTTTGCTGCGTAGGGCATAAACGTGTTTATTGGTTATTGTGCCCCGATTCCAAATGATGTGTCGTCGTTGCGTCCTAAACGACAATGGCGAACAATGACTGTGTTTATATTGAAAATTATGTGAATTCTTCTACAATGGCCACTAGTAACAATGTACAACCAATTATTATCGATTTAGCTCAAGTTAATGCTTAATTATCGCTTTTGTGTATTACCATATTCAAAAGTAAGGGGAATGTTGACAATAAATTTGTATGCAGTAAATGAAAAAAAAAATGATGGAAAATGTGATAAATGTTTAGATTTTACCTGTTGTGGTCAATTAAATTGTTATAATTGAACGTTTTTGTCTCGCCTTGACGGAGTCAAAAAGCGAGACATAGGTATGCTGTTTCCGGCGGCGGCGGCAGCGTCAACAATGTACAAATGATGTAATAGTTTGTGATTAGGTCTAGTTCATGGTTAACCACTAGTGGTAGGTCAATGATATTTGGTATGCAGTTTTATTAGCATTGGCACATCTCATTACCATGGAGATTATTTGGCCCCGCCCCCTCAGTCAAGGTCTATTGACTTTGAAACTTTGCTTAGTTTTCATGTATTAGTTTGTGATTAGGTCAGTTTATGGGGAATAACTAGTGGTAGGTCAATGATATTTGGTATGCAGTTGTATAAGCATTGGCATATCTCATTTCCATGGAGATTATTTGGCCCCTCCCCCTCATTCATGGTCTATTGACTTTGAAATTTTGCTTAGTTTTCATGTATTAGTTTGTGATTAGGTCAGTTCAAGGGGAACCATTAGTGGTAGGCCAATGTTAATTGGTGTTCAGTTGTATAAGCATTAGCACATCTCATTTCTATGGAGAATATTTGGCCCCGCCCCCTCAGTCATGGTCTATTTACTTTGAAACTTTTGATTAGTTTACATGTATTAATAGTTTGTGATTAGATCAGTTTAAGATGAACTGCTAATGTCAATGATATTTGGTATGCAAATTTATTGGCATTTGCAAGTAACTTTTCCATGGAGATTATATAGCCCCACCCTTGATCATGGTTCATTGACTTTGATACTTTTACATAGTTTACAACATGTACAAGTTAATGTTTGTGTTTAGGTTTGTATAAAGGGAACGACTTATAGTAAGTCAATGGTATTTGGTATGCAGTTGTATTAGCATTGGCACATCTCATTCCATGGAGACTGTTTAGCCATGTACCTTCAGTCATGGTTCATCGACTTTGAATATTTGTATAACTTACATGTTAAAGTATTGCTATTTTAATTTCAACATTTGCATTATCAAAATTACAAAAAGGCAAGACATATCTCTGTGATAACAGTTTATTTAAGTTTCTGTGAGCTGATATTTTATCATGCAAATATTGACATTAAGTTTTGTGATAAAGTAAGTTTGTTAAATTACTGTTTCAGTTAAATTTTGTATTTTGATACTTGGAAGTTTTGCCTATACCTTTCAGACTTAACATTTAGAACAAACAAAAGAAATCAAAAGATAATTTGAAGAAAAACAATCAATACCATGGTCAAAAGTTTATTCTCTTTTCTGCAGAACTTAAATATGTGAAAAAAAGATAATAACATGTCTTTTCCATATTGGTCCTAGTATCATCCCTTAACCCATATTGGCCCTCGGCTAAAGTCTCGGGATGGTACCAGGGCCAATATGGAAAAGGAAATGTTATAATCTATAAGTTCTTTAAAATGATTTCACAATTAGTTATATTTTTAAAGTATTGGTCCTTGGTTAACCAAGACAATATGTTTGTGTCTTGCTATAAAGTATATATTTTGAGGGGGTATTTTCAATTTAGATCGTATCAAAACAAGCAGATGTGATATCATTGCCAATGACACAAATATTGACAAAAGGACAAGCAGGTAAATGACCACAGGTCAGCATCCTGCCTTCAACAATGAGTGCAACCAATACTGTATAGTAAGGTATAAAAGGTTTTGAGATAACAAAATGTGAAACAACTTGCACCATAGACTTATTCCACTATTTTATAGCTGTTTTAAATGATTATGAATAATACATATAAATAGTTTTTTTTCTTATTAGCTACACTTTATATATTTTGCAGAGCAGAAACAAATAGAGGACTGGGAAGAGAAAGATAAGATGTTTGTATCTACAATAGCCAGTGATTACGTCATGGAATGTTTACAGGACAACAGTTGCTTGACATTAACTGCCCCATCAGGAGTTGGAAAATCATTTATTGCCAGACACACAGCACTTGTTTTAAAGAAGGAAGGATACAATATAATACCAGTAGAATTACCAGCCGACATTAAAACTTATTATCAGCCTGGTAATCAGACCGTCTTCATTGTAGATGATATTTGTGGAAATTTCACTGCGAATCAACAACAGATTGATAACTGGAAACAATTGTTACCTGTGATTAAAATAATTATTGCAGACAAATGTTGTAAGATTATTGTATCTTGTAGATTACAAGTCTATAAAGATGATAAGTTTAATATATTATTACCTTTTAAATCCTGTGAATGTAACTTAATATCAGATAAGTTAGGTCTTACATCTGTTGAGAAAACAAACATAGCAAAAACCTATATTGGTACCAGCATGACAGATATTGATGATTTATCTTCTAAATGTGATTTTTTCCCACTCTTGTGTTCCTTATATCAAGAAAAAAAAGATGTAGATGTTAAAGAATATTTCAAAAATCCTTTTGATGTCTATAAAAGTGAGCTAGACAGGTTAAGTGAGCATGGTGATGAAGGGAAATATAAAATATGTAGTCTTGCTTTATTTGTTCTCTTCAATAATCAGCTAAAGGAAAAATGGTTCCAGGGTAAAATGACAGATGAACAACGAGAGATCATAAAAGACACATGTGAGGCTTGTGAAATCTCCAGTATACCAAAGGCAAAACTAAAGAAAGCACTTGACACTCTAGATGGTACATTTATCTGTAAACAGAATGGTGTTTATAGAACTGTACATGATAAACTGTTTGACTTTCTTGCTCATTACTTTGGTCAGAAAATGATTGAATGTTTAATAGATCATGGTGATAGTGATTTAGTACATGAACGTTTTATTTGGCAGACATCATCAGATGACAAGAACAGTAACATAGACCATGTAGACTTCATTATAGAAATACCAGATATTTATTTAGAATCATATTTGAAAAGGTTTATAAAGGACTGGTCAGCAGGAAAGGTGAGAGTTATATTCATGAACAACAATTTGACAGTATCATTATTCAGACAACAGTTATTACAGCACTTAAAACAACTGGACAAATCACAACAAGTAACATTAGCCATTACCAAAGATACAGTGTTACCAAAGGAGCACCATGGATCAGGTACTACTCCACTGATATGTACTTGTTATGATGGTTATACTGATATGGTACAGTGGATGTTACATAATGATGTGGATGTGGATCAGTGTAGAGATGATGGAGTTACTGGACTGTACATGGCAATTCAGGAAAGACATACTGATATAGTAAAGTTACTGTTAGAGAAGAATCCTAATGTTGATCTATGTGACAAGAATGGCTGTAGTCCTCTAAACAGAGCAAGTGAGAAAGGACATACTGATATAGTAAAGTTACTGTTAGAGAAGAATCCTAATGTTGATCTATGTGACAAGGATGGCTGTAGTCCTCTGTACAGGGCAAGTCAGAATGGACATACTGATATAGTAAAGTTACTGTTAGAGAGGAATCCTAATGTTGATCTATGTGACAAGGATGGTATAACACCACTGTCCCTGTCATGTTATTATAACCACACCAGTATAGTCCAGCTATTAGTTAAACATAAACCAGACATTAATACCCAGGCAATATTTGGTTTTAATGCTTTATATGTTAGTGCAATGATCGGAAACGTAGAGATAACAAAGTTACTATTAGAGAACAATGCTGACTGTAATAAAAGTAATCATAGTAAACAGTCTATAACAGAAGCATTAACTAATCATCCAAAGTACACATTAGATGAAATAAACCAAGGCTTATTTGATAGTTTGATGGAGAATACATCATCACATGTAACAGACTATGTCAGTAAGAATTCAGTAGAGTATGCCTTTGATGTAGTAGCTGGTTCTTCTCCATTACACATAGCCTGTTTTATGGGTAGGACAGATGTAGTCAATTGTCTTCTGGACCACAATACTAACATCAACATGACAAAAGAAGATGGCACCACACCATTATTTTATGCATGTGAAGTAGGACATGAGGATATTGTACGTTTATTGTTAGATAAAGGAGCAGATACACAGATATGTAGACTTGATGGGAAATCCCCTTTAAAGATTGCAACAGATAATGGACATACATCTATAGTAATGATTGTAACAGAACACATGAAGAAGGAGGAAAAACAGACTTGATGGGAAATCCCCTTTAAAGATTGCAATAGATAATAGACATAAATCTATAGTAATGATGTTAACAAATCACATAAAGGGGGAAGACAAACTTTCTTCTTAATACTTGTTTTTATTAGCTCACCTGGCCCGAATCACTTGGCGTTCGTCGTCCGTCGTCGTCGTTAACTTTTTACATTTTGAACTTCTTCTAGAGAAGCACTGAATGGAATGAAACCAAACATGGCATGAATGTTCCTTATGAGGTGCTGACCAAGTGTTGTTACTTTGAAGCCGATCCATCATCCAAGATGGCCACCAGCTGGGGACAGTGTTTAACAAAGGACCCTATGGACAATACATACAAATGTCTTCTTTTAGAGAACCACTGAATGGATTGAAACAAAACATTGCATGAATGTTCCTTATGAGGTGCTGACTAAGTGTTGTTACTTTGAAGCTGATCCTTCATCCACGATGGCCGCCAGCGGGGGGACTTAGTTTAACATAAGATCCTATTGGAAATACATACAAATGCTTCTTCTAGAGGTGCACTGAATGGAATGAAACCAAACATGGCATAAATGTTTCTTATGAGGTGCTGATGAAGTGTTGCGACTTTGTTGCTGATTTACTGTACAAGATGGCCACCAGGATTTTTTATTAAATTACAGGGCCAATATTAAACCAAATTTGGCCTCACTCATTATTAGGGTATCTGTTATGATTTTAATCTATTTTAACATTATTTCCAAAACCAAAGTAGAGTCAGGTGAGCGACACAGGCTCTAGAGAGCCTCTAGTTGTTCTTTGTAACAAGTGAAAAAAAAATGCATATATTTTATAAAATAAAATTGGGAATGGAAATAGGGAATATGTTAAAGAGACAACAAACCGACTAAAGAGCAGACAACAGCCGAAGGCCACCAATGGGTCTTCAATGCAGATAGAAAATCCCGCACCCGGAGGTGGTCCTCAGCTGGCCCCGAAATAAAATTGTGTGCTAATATATACTATTCTTTCCATTAAATTGTCTCTACTTTGATTCCCACTGCATGGAATATATCTTGGTTTTATCACCTGGAACAGAAGAACCTATTTAATTTAGATGTACTAAAACTATTCTGGTCATGCCAATAAGTACAAATGAACCACTTGGTTAACATTGTAATTCTATCATTACTTAGTAGTTATTTTTAATTACTTCATCTTTTTCTAAGGTCACATTTCTTTCTATTGAATGTATTAAAGGCAATACAAGATTTTGTCATCACTTTGGGTCCATTGTTTCATGTCCATTCTTCGCTTCTTTACTTTTCAAAGAATGATAGAAATTTAAATATAGATAGAACAGTTTTCCAATTTTTGGATTTGTGACCCTGACAGCTTAACTTCATTTTACATATTTCTTGGGTTAATCACCTGGAACAGAAGGACCTACAAAACTACTCTGTGGATGCCAATGAAAACAACTGTACAATTTTCAGTAAACATTGTAATTATATCATTACTTTTATTTTCTTCATTGTTTTCTAAAGTGGCTTTTCTTTCTACTTGATGAGTCAGGTCAGATCAGTTTTTGTCTTATTTAATGCTCATATTATTATCAAAGGTTACATATTTTACTGATTGTATGACCTTGTTACACTATTCACACATATGGACTACCATTTTATTTTTATTGATATGTTGGTTAATGTTTTTCTTTGTATATGTATTTCTTTATATATTTTTTTGAACATTACAAACCCTATATTTCTTGTTTGGATTTGTTGTGATGTTTGGGTACTGTCTAATTACAAGATATGCATGATATGTGGTATTTAAAAGAACTAATTACATTGATATACATTCCATGTATAATACAGTTATCTATCAAGTCTTTAGATATAGGAAAGATGTGACCGTGACACAGACTGATTATTTGTTTTGCAACAAATTCTTATCATGTCTAAAAAATAAAAGTTGTATCTCAGCAGATCTAAAAGGCCATGTGAGATCTGTCATCACTTTGGGTCCATTGTCTGTTGATCTAGCCAAAAGGCCAAGAGAGATTATCTCATCATTTGTCGTCCATTGTCGTCCATTAACTTTTACAAAAATCTTGTCCTCTGAAACCACTGGGCCAAATTTAACCAAACTTTACCACAATCATTATTGGGGTATTTAGTTTTAAAAAATGTGGCCAATGACCAAGGTTTCCCTTGGGTCCATTTTCTTTTACGCCACCTCTTTCGCCAAAACAAGTTATTTTTCGCCACTTTCAATTTTGTAAGAAATGTGAGAAGAGGGCATTGGAAAAGCGAATACAAAGGGTAGGGTGCATTGAAGTGTGAGTGGGAAGCCCTGTATTTCCTTGCATTGGTAAATTTATGCAGTTTTATTTTTTCACCACTTTCAATTTTTTTTTTCGCCAACTTACATAGTTTTCGTTTAAATTTTCCTTCTTTTTAACAAAAAAAATCAGTTTGTCACATTGTTATATAAAAAAAAGAAGATGTGGTATGATTTCCAATCAGACAACTCTCCACAATAGACCAAATGACATAGAAGTTACCAACTATAGGCCAGTGTACAGCCTTCAACAAAACCAATACTGCATAGTCAGCTATAAAAGGCCCAGACTAAATGACAAATGCAAAACAAAAAGAACAATTCAAACGAGAAAACTAACTATGTCTATTATAATTCTTCATTTCTATTTTATGATTTGCATTGTAATGAATAAACACTCAATGATAACAGACATTTAGTTTTTAAAAGTAACTGTCAAATTGCAATACAGATCATGAAATCATCATTTTTGACTTCTGCCGGTGAACACAGGATTCAGCAATAATAGTATAAGATACTTCCCATCTAGTTGAAGGATAAAGACTAAAGTCAGAGAATTGTCTTACTTTTGAATATTTTTCTTCTTAACAATAGTTTTCCTTTCCGGACCATCATTAAAAGAAAAGCTTGGACATTAAACTATGGCTAAAACACGTCGTCACTAAAACGATTATAAATCATCCTATTCAAAACAATTATTTCTATCAAAAATTATAGGATAAAATTTAAAGGCAGAGATTTTTCTCCCATTTAAACATTTTTCGTCATAAGTTTTTTTTCCAGACAATCGTTAAAAGAAAAAGAGAAGACGTAAAATATGCTTTAAACATGTGCGTCGCTAACGATTGTAAAGTAACAATTTCAAAACAATTATTTCAATCAAAGTCTTAAAAAATCCATTTAAGTGACAATTGTGAAGCCATTTAACCACACCATTTCATGAAACAATACAATCAACACTTTTATCAATTATAATCCTTTGTTGCCGATAGCTATAAAATGCAATCAGCTGATTATTGATTTTCTATCAAAATTGTTATGAGTATTGTCTGAGCAGGGAAAAAGCATGAGAAACCCAAAAAAAGTAAACGAGATAGACGAAGTCGAACAGTTCTTTTTCTTTCTCCAAATTCTTTTGCCAAATTCTTTCGCCAATAACGAATTTTAATTGCCACAATTTTTATTTTTTCACAAAATGCGAAAATTGCGCAGCCAGCGGAAACCCAGCCAATGACCATGCCTTCAAACTAAGATGGCCTGCATGGCTAAAAATAGAACATAGGGGTAAAATGCAAGTGTTGCTTATTATTTTGAAAACCGCTATAAATAGAGAAATTCTGACGGGGGAAATTCTTTTCAAAATGTTGAGCTCTAACTATTGTCCAATAATGTCAAAACTGTTAGACGACTTCTTATAGGAGTTAATGCCCTTAAATGACTAAATTTTACCATTTTATAAAAACATTTTTCCTATCATCTAGTAAATTATAATAGATACACAGAAACTTTAAAAAGCAAATACAAGACAAGATCTACAAAAAAGTCAACATAATAAAAACCGTCAGATGACTCCTCAATAGAGTATTGCCCTTTAATGACGATTTTTACCAATTTTTTGCGTTTTTGCCTAATATCGTAAAAACTATTATAGATAAACAGAAATTATTAAAAAGCAAAACTGATCATCAAGATAAGATCTACTAATAAGTCAACAAGACCTAAATTGTAAGTCGATTCCTTATTGAAGTTATTGCACTTTACTGACCATTTTTTCCAATAATTGCCAATTATCTCATTATTGGAGTTATTGCCCTTGAATGATAATTTTTACCTAAAAAAAAAATAATTAGATAAATAGAAATTAAGAAAATGAAAAATTTCAAGCAGGATAAGATCTACAAATATTTCAACATGACTGCAACTGTCAGTTAACATGGTAAACTCTTGATAGAGTTATTGCCCTTTCATGATGAATTTTACTGACAGATGGCCATTGTTGAAGATACATGTTTTTTAGAGCCTCTAATTTATTGTTTGAATCATATTATTTGTATTGTAATATAGACATGTATTTTGTTAATTTAATATGTATCAGAAAAATAATCCTAATAAAATCATCTATCAGTGTTTTATGTATTTTAATAAACTTATATCTGCTAATTTGTTAAAAAGACAAATTCTGATAATGTCCTCTTTTGTTGAAGTAGATTTGAACAATATTTCATGGAAATATGATAGATTTTGAGAATGCATTAGTCATTTTGGATTTTCATTTAAACTGATAGTACATTATGATAAAATGAGCAATTAACATTATGGAGAAGTTCATCCAACTTTAAATTGAGTTGGCACAAAGTCAAGTTGGCTTAATTATTATAATATCATGACAGATGTCTGGGAGTCAGCTTTCCAGTTGCCTAGACAGAATATTTCGATCCACAATGAACATTTCACCTACTTTATAGTTCCCTGTTGGAAAAATCCTACTGATTTTAGGATTATTAGGTCAATGTTACAGTGTCTTCAAATATACTGAAAGTTTGGGGAAGTTTTGTTCCAAATGTTATTTATTTGAGTCCTTAGTAGGAATTTTACCAATTTTAGGTGGATACTAGTAAATTGTATCTGAGTGTAATAGGCCTCTTTTGATTTTTAGGTAACTAATATAAAAATAAGGAGTTGTTATATGATAGTCAATGAGACTATACCAGAGAGACTAAAAGTGGATGTAAGCTATTAGTTCATCATAATGCATTCAACAATTAGCAAAACCCATATAGTTGGCTGTTAAAGGCTCCTACATGATAAAATGTGTAACATTTCAAACAAGAAAACCAAATGGCCTAATCTATGAACAAATCCGAAGCCATAAGTCACAGCAGACTGAAATTGCGACAATATTATTTGTTTCCTGATGCTATTTTTGTCGAGCTTGTGACTTTTGTCGCAGAAAGCTCGACATAGGGATAGTGATCCGGCGGCGGCGTTAGCTAACTTCTTAAAAGCTTAATATTTTAGAAGCTAGAAGACCTGGATGCTTCATACTTTGTATATAGATGCCTTATGTTACGAAGTTTCCGTCTGTCATATGTCCATTGTCCTTGACCTCATTTTCATGGTTCAGTGACTACTTGAAAAAAAAGTCAACATTTTTTGTAATGTTAATTTCTTTCTTATTATGAGTAATAGGATAACTATATTTAGTATGTGCGTACCTTGCAAGGTCCTCATGCCCGTCACTGGCCGTCAGACAATTTTCATTTGACCTCGACCTCATTTCATGGATCAGTGAACAAGGTTAAGTTTTCGTGGTCAAGTCCATATATCAGATACCATAAGCAGTAGGTCTACTATATTTGGTATATGGAATAATTGTAAGGTGTACATGTCCAACTGGTAGGTGTCATCTGACCTTGACCTCATTTTCATGGTTCAGTGGTCAAAGTTAAGTTTTTGAGTTTTGATCTTTTTTTCTAATACTATATGCAATAGGTCAACTATATTTGGTGTATGGAAATATTTTATGATGTACATGTCAGCCTCGCAGGTTTTATTTGACCTTGACCTCATTTTCACGGTTCATTTCTCAGTGTTAAGTTTTTGTGTTTTGGTCTGTTTTTCTTCAACTATAAGCAATAGATCAACTATATTTGTTGTATGGAAGGATTGTAAGGTGTATATGTCTGTCTGGCAGGTATCATCTGACCTTGACCTCATTTTCATGGTTCATTGGTCAATGTTAAGTTTTCATGGTTAAGTTTGTTTCTTAGATACTATAAGCAATAGGTCAACTATATTTAATGCCTAAATTGATTGTAACGTGTACATGTCTGCCTGGCATGGTTCATCTGACTTTGACCTCATTTTCATGGTTCATTGGTCAATGTTAAGTTTTCTTGGTTAAGACTGTTTCTTAGAAACTATAAGCAATAGGTCAACTATGTTTGGTTTATTGAATGATTGTAAGGTGTACATGTATTTCTCATTTGGTTTATCTGACCTTGACCTCATTTTCTTGGATCATGTTAAGTTTATGTGTTACTTGTAGTAAAGCTTTATATTTAGGACTATCAGCATAAAATCGATGGTTAGTAAAGAATGCGAGACATTTCAGTGTGTGCACTCTTGTTCAATCAAATGTCCTATCTTCACGAAAAATAGCTTGAAAATTACCCTAGACACGAACAAGATTATTAACTGTTTGATCAGTAGGTAAAAGTTCAGGTTCAGCTAAAAGTAGACTGAGAATTTGGGAAAGATACTTCAAGACAATATATATATTGAGTCATGAATAACTTATCTGTGGTGGATAATGTGTCTTAGAGAGATAAAAATCCCTAATAATTTGAGGGTCAAAGATTAATTTTACAGTGGCTATCTTAAATTAAGACGAGTTTTACTGGTTAGTAATCAAATCACTTATCCATTGCAATGTCATCACTAGAATACGTTTTTGAAAACACCAATTGTTAATAAGGCCTCAGTGTAACTTTCAGATGAAGAACAGTATAAATAATCCAAATTTGAATATTTGTTTGTATCGAGTGGACCTAATGATTATGTGTCATAAGAACCACCTTTGGTAGTCTAAGACATAAAAATAGGTATTTGCTGTTCTCGGCTATGCATGCAGCATTTAGAAGTAAGAGCTCTAATTGAGAATAATGTGTTCATGTAAGACGATATGTTTATGTGGACTATAAGCTTGTGAACTAGCACTGATTTCTTACTTTTTTTGGCTGTACTTTTTCAGGGTCCTTTTTGTCGGTCTTGTTGTCACGGAAGCGAAAAAGTTATCCTACTTTCTGTCGTCAGTGTCGTCAGTCTGTTGTTAAATATGAAAAAAAGAAGATGTATGATTTTCAATGAGACAACTATCCACCAGAGAACACTTGACGTAGTTGTAAGCAACAATAGGTCACTGTATAGCTTCAACAATGAGTAAAACCCATAACGTATAGTAAGTTATAAAAGACCCCGATATGACAATGTAATAATTCCAACAAGAAAACTAATGACATGATTTATGAACAAAACAATGAACGAAAAACAAACAGGATAGACAGCAACCAACGACCACTGAATTGCAAGCTCCTGACTCTTGACATGCACATACAGGATGTGATGGGTTTATAGATATAAGAAGATGTGGTATGAGTGCCAATGAGACAACTCTCCATCCAAGTCACAATTTGTAAAAGTAAACCATTATAGGTCAAAGTACGGTCTTCAACACGGAGCCTTGGCT